AGGTGTGGAGGGGTGTGGGGACGCCCTTTCCTCCTGTATCCCCCCTCCTTAGCAGCGGAAAAGCCCGTTTCGCCAGAGTTTCGCCTACTAAATTTTGCAGAGTAGCCCCGATTCTGCTGCTGTCAGAGAGAGGAGGAATGGGAAAGAGGATGACAAGAACCAGAAAAAAAGTAAATAAAATAAAATAACAAATAAATGGGAAGTAAAATAAATAAAATAAAATAAAATAAAATAATCATCTTGAAAAATCAGTAGTTCGTCCCCCCTCCCCCCCCGCAATTCCTCTAGGAAGCGAGAGTGGTGGATGAAACCTAGCACTGGCTGGTTTGCTTTCCCCCAGAGCTCAAGGATGCTACTCCTGGTGGAGGGAAACTCGGGGCCGGTGTCAACAGGGAGGGAAGGGGCCTCTAACTCCGGCCTCCGCCTACCCCACGTCGGGGTCTCGCTGCCAGCGCAAGGAGGCAGAAAGAGGCGTTTTCGTTACTTTTGGAAGAAATCTGGTCGAATAGGGTAATCGCCTTCTTTCCCGTTTGCTGTTTTTCCGTTACAAACTCACCTCGCCGAGGGAAAAGGAAAAAAAAAATAGAGTCCTATTTAGAAACGAGATAAGGTCATTCGACACAAACGTGTTTAAAATAGTTTTTCTATTTTGGCTCTGCGAAAGTCAGAAAACAAAGGGCGTGAAATGGAACGAGAATGGAAAGGAAAGGAGAGGAAAGGAGAGGAAAGGAGAGGAAAGGAGAGGAAAGGAGAGGAAAGGAGAAAGGGGAAAGAAAAGTCTGGAACTCTTCTCTCTTCCTACCCACAGATTTCTGAGCCTAACGCGCCTTTTGCAGCGCCTACTAAGGCTGGCACCTCGCTTTAAATGCTGGGATAAGGTTTACTTCGTGTCCTACATAAAGAAAAAATGCGGAATAAATGAATCTTCGGGGACTGCAGAGTCCCTGATGCCCTTTGGTCCTGACGTCCTGGACCAGAGGTGATCCCGAGGTGCAGAAATAACCTTTTCCCGAGCAAGACCCTTTCCCTGACCACCTCCCATGGCCCCATTTGCCTTCTCCCACTGCCGGGATGTATATTGAAAGAAGATGGGGGAAGATTTAATTTTCCTTTGGGAGATGCAATTACAGCAGAAATACTGCAGGAGATGCGCACACTCAGACTCCTGGCTTCTCTGTATCTCATCATTTATCACAAATGTAGCAAACATTGGAGACTACCACCAGCTAAGAGTACTCATAAATTAGAGGCCACGGGAATACTTAAAAAAATAAAATCAGAAAAGAAAGGAAAAAGAAAATCAAAATCCAAAATAGCAGGCACCTGCCGGAGGAGTGGTGACAGTATGGATAGGGAGAGGGCAGATCCCTAACCTTAGGCTCCAGGATGGTTTTAGATAAACCAGATTGGAAGAGAAAATGCCTGTCCGCCCCCCTTGTCAGATGCGCGTTAGAAGGAGAATAGTAATAATAATTAAAAAAGAAAAAAGAAAAAAAAAATGTGTGAGAACAGATGGAAATCATCCCGGGGAATGAGAAACCCTTCGCTGCCCCAGGCTCGCGACAATGGACCGATGCACCAGGAGGCCCAGGCGGGAAGCTCTGTCCTCTTCCTCCTCTCCCTCGCCCCGTTCCTCTCCCCCTGCACCGGGAACTGGCGCCCCGGGGCTGTCACCTCGACGGGGAAAGGCAATTTTTGCAGCAGCCCGGGCTGATCCCGGGGGGCGCGGGTGCCTTTTTGACGGCGGCTGCTCTCCCCTCTTGCAGGTACTGGGATGATTTCCACGCCTGCACCCTCACAGCTCTCACCGATTGCCAGGAAGGAGCGACAGACCTCTGGGAGAAATTGAGACGGGAGTCCAAAAACCTCGACTTCCAAGGCAGCTTATTTGAACTGTGCGGAGGCAGCGCCGGCTCGGCAGCGTCTCTCCTCCCGCCGGCTTTGCCCGTGCTCCTGGCTCTTGCAGGTACTGGGATGATTTCCACGCCTGCACCCTCACAGCTCTCACCGATTGCCAGGAAGGAGCGACAGACCTCTGGGAGAAATTGAGACGGGAGTCCAAAAACCTCGACTTCCAAGGCAGCTTATTTGAACTGTGCGGAGGCAGCGCCGGCTCGGCAGCGTCTCTCCTCCCGCCGGCTTTGCCCGTGCTCCTGGCGGCTCTGTGGGCCGCGCTAGTGACCTGGCTGCCTTTCTAAGGGGGCGACACACTTACACCCACACCCTCTCCATGCGCCGGATCTATAGAGGAAGTGTCCATCCGTTGCTTTGGGCACGCTGTGCTTATCTGTGGTTGGTGATGATGGTGGTGGTGGCTGCTGATGGTGAAACACCCATGTAGGACTGTGGAAGCGTTCTCTCTTTTTATTTACTTATTTACTTATTTTTGTGTTTTATTTGCCAAATGTTACCAAACAGGCAGCGGCGCGAAGCCCAAATCGGACCTCAGCTTTACTATCGCTTCAAATCAAAAAATAGAAAAATAATGAAAATAACAGCTCGAGCCCTCGTTGTGCAAAAGAAATCTCAGGAACGGCTCTGGGCCACCTAATGATAACGTTGTAATCGGCCAGGGTAACGCCTGGCAGGCCACGGGCTCCTCTAAAAATATGGCAGTGTGTGAGGTGAGAACAAAAAAGCAGACAAAAAAAAACCCTCACTGGCGATGAATCCAAGATAGATGTCCACGTGTGAAGCATATGGTGAATAATTCACAATCTCTCATCTTTCCTCCACAGTCGCTTGTTTTTGGTCATTCCACAGCAAAAAAAATAAAAAAAAAAATAAAAAAAAAGAGTCTTTTAAGAGAGAGAGAGAGAAGTGGGAAACGAACAGTTAAAAAAAGAAAGAAAGAAAGAAAAGGAAGAAAGAAAAAAAAAAGGAAGGAAAAAAGGGAAGAACGAAGAAAAGACCCGTGTCAAAATGCCTGGAGGAGCGAAGGAATGCTGCTAACAGATCTGTGAGAGTTTACCTTTAATTGCTTTTCGAAGGCATCTTTCTGAATTCACTGCCTTTATTTTTCCCTCCTCTTTGTTTTAGATGTTACACATACCAGTAAAATACCTGAATATCCAACAGTAGAGATCACAAAAAGGGGGCTTAAATGTAAACCTAACAATAATAAAAAAGCAACAGCAACAGCGTAATAATTTTGAAAAAAAAAAGAGCCTTGATTTTAAAAGAGAAAAATGTAATTTAAAAATAAAAGTTTATTATAAAGTCAATTCAGCAAAAAATAACAAAAAAAGATTTGCTACAAAGTATAGACAGAAGTATAAAATAAAAATTATTGTTTGAAATGAGGATGTCGTCATTTTTATATAATACGCCTTGGGTATCTTGAAAGGAGAAGGCTTTTGAGGCAAGGAGGGCTAAATGCAGAACTGATCCCTTGACGAACGTTGCGATTTCAGTTCAAACAAGGACAAGGCTGCCGAGATGGTTAGTCTGAGCCTTCTTCTTTTCTTTTTTTCCCTCCGCCCTTTTATTTCTTAACAGCATGCTGCAAATTCTCTTCTCCCAAAAAATCGTCTTAAAAAAAAAAAAAAGAAAAAAAAAGAAAAAAGAAAGAAAAAAAGGGATTGCAGGAATTGCCCGCGTGTCCGCGCGGACCTGCAGGAGGAGCGGAGGCCCCGCGCGGAGGCGCGGAGCAGGCGCGGGGCCCGGCGGCGGGAGGAGCAACCACCGTTAAGGAGAGGAGGAGGCTGCGGCGCCGGAGCCGGGGCGCAGAGCAGCCCTTTCATAATTAATAAGGCAGCTCAGGCGGGGGAGCGAGGGGAAGGGAAGGGGGGGGTAGGTTTTGATTTGGCAGCAGAAGCTGCTCTAACCTCGGCTATTTATAGGCGCCCGATGCCTCTATAAAGAAATATATATGAAAGAGTAAACACGTCCTTTTTACCTATAAAGCTAAAGCGAGAGCTCAGCTGGCGAGTGGGGGCGGGGGAGGGAGTGATGGGAAGGTAGGGCTGAGAATTTAGAGAATTCTAAATTATAGAGAATTTATTCTGGTGGGAAATCTTGCCTGTGTTGTGCCCCCCTCTTTGCCAGTGTGGAGGGTGGCGGATCTCTCTCTCCTTCGCCCCTTCTCCCTTCTCTTCTTCTTTCCCAAGGTCCGCAATGTAATGGGTAAGCAATAGTAAATGTAGCAGTTCATAAATCAAACAGTGGGTCGCAAGCCAATCTGCATTTCCCAAACGGATTGAATCCCAGCAATAAATGTGCTCAGAAACTGGAGCCAGGCGCCTGTACCACTGGAAGCAATGTTGATTTTTTAATGATAAAATACATTATGTGTGTGTTGAGGTGGGGGATGGGTAATTTTGCAGAGCTCAGCCTAGCTTTGCTAGACCCGGGTCTGCTTACATTTCGTTTTTCTTTGCCCTCCCTCTAGATTTAATCCCTACCAACAACCAAAAGGGAAAACCCAGGAGAGCAGAGCTTTGTTTAAATGGTTTGGGTTATTTTCCCTCCCCACAGAGGGTCTAGACCTAAATTGATTTTTTTTGCACATCTCTATATTCATGAGGTCAGGCGTTGCTGTTATAATTTTTTTTTCCAGCGCGAAGGCGAGAGCTATGAGAGCTGCACGGAGCTGATCGCATGTGTTAGGATGCGAGGGACATCGCAGCCTAGTGTCTCCGGGGCAAAACTCCGCCGGGACGGGCTTGGGGGACTCAGCCGGGCCCGGCTCCGTGTTCCGCAGGCCCTGGGCATCCCTCGGCGGGATATTCCCGCATCTCTTGCTGGTAGCACGGTACCCGCTACCTGTCGAGAGGGAGCGGGGGAGCGGAGGAAGGGGACTCCCAGCTTTTTTCTCACCCCACCAACGAAATGTCGAAAGTCGTTGATAAAGGGGGCGATTTCCAGGTCCTTAGTGGATTCGAGGTGTCACAGAAATCAGGACGAATTACTCGTGGGCAATCTCTGTAACCAGTGTGTTGTCCAATTAGCCCTGCGCTGAGGCGAGTGACAGACAAGCGGCGGGCCGGGGAAACAGCGCAGCGGGTCCGGGCCGGAGAGCGCCGGTGCCGGCGGGTGCCAGTGCCTGGCCTCCCTCCCCCGGCCTCCCTCCTCCCCCCGGCCTCCCTCCCCGCGGCC